ACACCTGGGACACACCTGGGACAGCTGGGACACACCTGGGACAGCTGGGACACCTGGGACACACCTGGGACAGCTGGGACACACCTGGGACACACCTGGGACACACCTGGGACAGCTGGGACAGCGGGGACACACCTGAGACACACCTGGGGACAGCTGGGACACACCTGGGACACCTGGGACACACCTGGGAACCTCCCAATGGACACCTGGGGACACTTGGGACAGCTGCGGACACCAGGGAACCTCCCAACGGACACCTGGGACAGCGGGGACACACCTGAGACACACCTGGGACAGCTGGGCCAGAGCTGGGCCGGAACGAGGGGCTCAAACCGTGATACCCAGGGAGCGCCCGCTGCTGCTGAGACACCTGGGACACCTGGGAACCTCCCAATGGACACGTGGGACACACCTGAGACACACCTGAGACACACCTGGGGACAGCTGGGAGCCCCGCAATGGACACGTGAAGGACCTGCTGTGAACACCTGGGGACACCTGGCACAGCTGGGGACCCGCCGGGACAGCGGGGGACACACCTGGGACACACCTGGGACACACCTGGGACACCTGGGGACCTTCAAATGGACATGTGGGGTCACCTGGCACACCTGGGGACCCTCCCTGGACACCTGGGTGCCCCCCGGACGTGGGGGTGACCGTCCCTCAGTAAATTCGGCCGCCTACCCATGATGCCTCGGTGTGGGTGACGTCATGGGGGCGGGGCGAGCAGCTGCCTCCAGTACGGACCAGTAACGCCCGGGGCACGAGGCGGAGACCCCGCCCGAGTTCTTTGTCACGGCAAACTACAGCTCCCAGCATGCATCGGGCGCCAACATGGCCGAACTTCCGCCCTTTTTTAAAAAAAACCGACAGCTCCCAGGATGCATCGGGTGCCAACATGGCCGCCAAGCAACTTCCGGTTTTACATTTGAATTTGAACTACAGTTCCCATCATGCATCAGAAGCACGTGGCCGGAAGTGATTGTCATTTGCGTGACTACAGCTCCCGTCGTGCACCAGGGCGAACATGGCCGACTTCCGGTCTCGCCTCGCCCTCAACAGGGCGGGAAGGCGCAGCAGCGCTCCCTGGCGGGCGGGAGGACCAAATTGGGGGGGTGGTTTTTAAGGAGGGGGAGGGGCAGAAAGGGCCATTTGCGTGACTACAGCTCCCGTCGTGCACCAGGGCGAACATGGCTGACTTCCGGTCTCGCCTCGCCCTCAACAGGGCGGGAAGGCGCAGCAGCGCCCCCTGGCGGGCGGGAGGACCAAATGGGGGGGTGGTTTTTTTAGGGAGGGGGAGGGGCAGAAAGGGCCTG